AAAATGATAGAGGGGAGTGAGGGGACAGAAAAAAAGATGAACTGAATAATATTTTACATGCCACTGCATCTGATTTTCTGTTTGCTGTGAAGCTGGGGAGGTAAAAGCAAGAAGGCCATGTCCCCATTTTGTTTGTCCAGCCTCTACCCTTTAGACATTATGCTAATTTTATACGAAAGTATTTATAGAATCCCTACAGTGTGGAACCAGGCCATTTGGCCCAACAGGTCCACACCGACTCTTCGAAGAACATCCCACCCGAACTCATCCCTTTACCTTGTTCCCCTGCATTCTCCATCGCTAATCCACCTAACCTACAGATCCCTGGACACTATGGGCAATTTAGAATGGCCGATCACCCAATCTGCACATCTTTGGATTTAGCAAAAATGGCTCACAAGATGCTCTCTATTTTGGTTAACTTCTCAATGTTTGAGCTATCTTATTCTCTTCCAGTAGTAGGTAGTTTATTTTCTGATGTAGTTATTTAAATGTATTGAGTATTTGTCGCGACTGGATCCTGATTCTTAATCCCGTTTGTTTCTCTGCATTTTCCACCAGTCTTTCAAATGAGAGTGCTGAGTTTTTCGGAGATTTGACATCTTAACCAGAAGATAGTCCAGGGCTTAAGATTGCACCTCAGGATTGTCTGCATATCTTCATCAATGGGTAGACTAGAGTTGGCTGGTGATGGTTGTGTTATGATTGTTACTCCTTCTCTTTTGAGAGGTAGCAGCAAGAAATGTGAGAGGCAGGGAAACAGAATATTGATGATTTCCATAATCATGATAATTCTCTGTGGTGTTCAGTTTGTGTTGCTGAGATTTATATGTGGATTTCTTGCCCATAGTCCTGTGGAATATTCAACTGCTGATAAAACAAGAGCCAAGTTGCTGTCTTCAGGAAACGAGCTTCTCTCCAGCTGGTCCCAGAGAATTGTGGATAAATGGATTCAAATCTTCCTCTTGATTGCAGATTACCATTACTGGGTCAGAGTTAATGTTAATCATAAAACTCAGTGGTCTGAAGACTGAACAACAGGGAAACCAGTTGTTCAGTAGTAGAAGTCTGCTGACTTGTACAGTGAGTTGTACAGGAAATTGTTGTTGATTAGCACAGTTTACAGCCTCGTAGTCTCGAGGTTTTTGCGGTATATGGTCCCTTCCTAATATGCTGCAGATGAGTCCAGGAAAGCTATTGTTGTTTAGCCTTAATGCCAATAATAAGCTTCAATGTAGGTTGAGAGTACATTTCCCTGAATGCAGTCAAATAACATGCGACAGTGACTCTAGAGTGCCTTTTTTTTATATAGTTGGTACATTACCAGCCATTATTACTTAGATATATAAACGGAGATTTTACAAAATTACATGTTAAAATTGGGGAACATTACTCGAGTGGAAGATGAGCTTGAAGTTTGTGTATGAAGCTCAACAGGCCTGTTGGTTAACACTGTCTATGATATGTGGTGAGGTGTTTTCCAATATATGTATAGGATTTAGCACTAAGAGCATTTTTCTTAAGATTACTGTAGGAAATTGCATTTTTTCTAAGCTATAGATTTGTCCAGAAACGCAATGACTTTGTAAAATTAACAATTAATCAACATCACCATCATTTGCAAGTTATTAGACATGAGAAATGAATTTTAAGATATGTATGCAATCTATTGTCAGCTGATTTATAAATAACTACGGAGTAAAATAAATTCAGTACGAAGCACCAACTTTCTTATCCGCATCAATATATTTAAGAGAAGTCATAAGGCAGAAATTGCCACCATCAATAAAAGATCCAGTGAGTGTGGTAATCCATTCTTTCTGGTTAGTAGAGTCCTCTGAATCTATGAATGAGATTCCAGCCCTGAGTTCTTTCTTCCTGTCAATTTCTATATACAAGTCAAGAGCCATTATTTGAAAACTGATTTAAGTAAAGCTTTTTATATGTGAAAATTTAGTAATTATTGAAGATCCAATTTTGTGTAAAGTTGATTGTTTGTTTGTTTTCTATTTGTTAGTTCACTCTGCTTTAAAGTCTGTGTTCAACTCCTTGGTAATTGAAAAGGAAAAATTCAAACAGTTGATATCAGAACATGATGCTTGCCATGCACCATCTGCACACATAATTGGTTTGAAGACTGCCTTAACCTCGGTAAGTTTTTGAGTCAGTGCAACAGCAACAAATCTGCTGTTAGGTTTGATGCTTCTGGAAAAATATGAACATGAAGCTGTTTTCAATGTTTAAATTTTTTTTTTTGAAACTTTAGTTTAATAGGTTCTGTTTTCTTGAGATTGAAATTTATTTTGAACAGTTACAAGTCTGTGTTTTAGCGATGGGAGAGGTTCTCTTCATTTGTACTTTATTGATTTTAAACATTTTCTACTGGTGACTTAATGTTTCAAAGGATTCTTGGTCTTGAAAATTTTAAGTGGTGGAATTCCACCCCAATTCATTTTAAGTCACAAATTGACTTTGTAAGTAACTTTGAGAAAAGACTTCTATTTTCACTACCCTTGAACTAATGACTTGCAAGGCTATTTTGGACATTAAGTTATTTGCCTTACTATGAATCTGGATTTACCTGCAGGCCAGATCAAGTGAAGAATATTATTGAACCAGATGGATTTTTTTTTTAAACTTATTTTCTAATCATCTTGCTTAGAGATGTTATTGCACACCCCTGGAGCAGATGGGACTTGAACCCAGGTGTCTTAACCCGGAGGTATGAACACTACCATTGCACCATAAGAGCCCAACCAGATGAGCTTTCATGACAATCGCTGATTAGCCTCAGTAAGGTGACCATGAGATTGCTTTCAATCCCAGATTTATTAATTAAATCTAAATTCCATTAGTTGCTGAAGAATATAGCTGATTTTGAATCCGTGCAGAAATCTAACCTGGGCCTTTTATTTCTCCAGTGACATGATCACTAAACTAGTGTTTCCTTCATAATGAGATAAATATTTGCCTTCAATAATTGAAGGTTTGATTTTAATATGGTCTTGTAACCTGCCTGACGACAATGTGTGTGTTGTTTGAAGTACCATCGTTTGGGTGAGATGTTGGAGCAGCCTGTTACGGTTGGATATTAAAGATTTCAATATCTTTTTAAATAAGAGTTGGCATTCTGGCCAGCATTCTTTTTGGCTTCCATTTCAGTTTGTTAATTTCATTGTTTGCAGTTCAAAAATTATTTTAGTCCAGTGTTTACACTTTTTCTGCCTTTACACTTTTTCTGCTGACTGTTAAAATTTGTTGCAAAAAGTATTTGTTCCTGAGTGTGCATTAAATTGGAGTTCCACTTGTCATTCAGTATAATGGGTTTGCTTTGGTGTTGCTCAGAAGTAGACTGAAGTGGAACTGCTAATTTGGTCAGTTTTTTTTAAAGTCACTGTTCAGGTAATTGTAGCCTTTTTTTGTTGTTAAAACTGCTGAGGTAATGAGGTAACAGATTGTAACTTATGATCTTCAGAACAGTAATTAACCTTTTTTCCAAAAAAAAAACGTTCTATACTTACAACAAAGCATGATGTCTGAAAAGAGAATTAAGCCTGTGCTAAATATGCTTTTGTTAATTATGCATAATCATCAACTTGATTGTCCAAATTTGAAGATGTCTGAGCCCCTAAAATGTGTCTCCCATTTATACATTTTTACCATTACATCTGTTGTCGATCCTTTTTATTAAATTTATTGCTTTGCATTTCTCTGTATAAAACACTTTTTATCATCTGTTTGTCCAATCTTTCATCTGACAATCAACAGCCTAACATTCTAACTATATGTAGCCTCTGCAATTTACACTCTGCCCTCTTTAGAGTTAAACAACCCCTTTCTGTCTTGTCATTTTCTGCTATTTGTACTAAAGGAACCATGTACATTTAGAATCGTTAAAGTTTGGAAAAACTGCTCTACGATAATGAGTGCCGAAAATGAAATGAATAGCAGAAAAGCATTAAGCTGTATCAAACTGAATTGTTTTCAGCCAATTTGGTAGCTACCTTTATTAACAAAATGTGCAGAGGGTAAAATATTTTTCTCAAAATATGTGAACAGTATCCTGCTGTAGTTCTCCTGTGTTTGATGATGTCTTTGTTTATTATTCACTTACAATTAGCTATTGACTTGGTCATGGCTGCATGAAAATGCTTTCATAACCTATGAATTGTGCCATGATGGCTCACCAACTAGTTTGTCAAATCTCTTGACACTAGCTGATATCTAGACCTTGGCTTTTATATTTCTATGGTGTATGAATCAGTAATGATTATTCATATAGGTTAAACAATCATCAAAGGGGATTTTTGAGACCCCTCCCCTTGGTAGTTTGGAAAGAGTCATGGAATGTTTGTTTGACAAAATCTAAATCCCACCTCCAACTTGTGTCAAACAACCCTACTTTTCATTTAGCCATGGAAGTGCATATAATCATTCTGAAGAGGTAAATTAATGATTCTGAAATAAATGGGGATATTTTAATTAAAGCTTTTGGGAGTACTTTATAGGAAATGCCTCCTACCCAGTGTACAGGAAACTTAATATTGATATGGAGGAGACAGTGAATGGCAATTAATGGGTTGGTTAAGGGTCAGTTCCTCCAAAATGAATAAGGGCTCAGCGCTCACTGCTTTCTCACTTCCCTTTGGAGAACACTTTGCTGTGAGCATTTGTTGTGGGAGACTTATTCATGCAGTTTAGAGACCTTCACAGAGAAAATGTCACGGCGCATACAGTCCTCTGACACACCTCTTATCAATAACATGTGAAAGACCTTACTTCCCTCAGCAACCTAGGTCTGAATTTTCACCCCTGGGTTGGGAACCCAAAGTTATGACAATTCCTGGTTCTACAAACCTGACTTGAGAGGAAAAACATAGTGTATAAGAAGTTTGAATTTTCATTCTCTGTGTTTATGGGAGTTGGGCAGGCTGACCCTGGAAAGAGTTTAGAGACAGCCCCACAGGTGGATGGGTGCTGATATAGGCTGTTTGAAAGACCGACCTTGGTGCTCTCGCACTTTGTCCCAGCTGTAAGAAAACAAATCATTCCTTTAGCCCCAAACCTTCACATGCCCTCATCATCAAAAAATTCCCCATGCTCCTGATGCTAATCTGTGCTATTTCATTCCACTACCCATGTGCCCTACATGGCCTCTTGTAGACTCCATGCTAACTTCTATCCCCAACCACTCACATACCAAATTATTCTCCCCATTTATCACCTTTTGCCCAGACATCTTCCATGCCAATTCATTCAATATCTTCTATCAGCAGACCTCGGGAACTATGTCCACATTAAATAAAGTTCTTGTGTCTATTGCTGAATCTGTAATTTTAAAAAAAAATCAAATTCACATGATTTAACTTCCTTCAAATACTTATTCCCTTACTTTTTAAAAAAAAACATTTTTTATTTATGGTCCCATCTCAAAGACTGTCTTAGCACTTGGAGCTGTAAATCGGAATGAACTACCAGGTACCCTACTACAATAACAAAAAATGGCTGGAGATCACAGCAGGTCAGGCAGCATCCATGGGGAGAGAGCAAGCTAACAGTTCGAGTCTAGGTGACACTTCATGGATGCTGCCTGAACTACTATGATCTCCAGCATTTTTTTGTTTTCAGTACAAATTCCAGCATCTTCGGTAATTGCCCCTACTCTGATCATAGTTTATGAATCAGGTAAGACAGGACTAATCCTATAATGCTAGATATCTCCTCTTCTACAGTATTGAGTAGGTGGGAGTTGAGCATTGATTAGAGGAGAGAAACTGCATAGGAATAGATAATATTTCCAGGATGATCGGCTTTAATTACTCGGGTGCAAGGGTTAGTATTTGGGCTTCAACTATTTATAATCTGTAGCGCTTTGAATGAGTGCACTCAGTTCGCTGATAATGCGTGTTTAGACAGGTAACTTAGCTGGGCGGACAATGCAGAGAGGCTGCAAGAGAGTTATTGACCAAATAAGAGATTGAGCGAGGAGGTAGTACTTGGAATATGATATGTAAAATTATCTATTTTGTTAGGAAGATAGGAAAGCCTTTTATTTTAAAATAAGGAATAGTAAATGCTAGTATTTAGAGAGATTTGGGGCTCCTTTATGAACAAGTCATCTGAAGTTTTGATTGCAAGAGGGTTGGAGCATTCGTGTAATCAACTCTTGCTGCAATTATGGAACAAAAACAAAAATTTCTGGCGAAACCCAGCAGATCTGGCAACACCTATGAGAAGAAAGCAGAGTTAACGTTTGAGTCTGGTGACACTTCCTTCAGACCAAATGAAGAGTTACAGGTCTGTAAATATTAACTTTGCTGTTTTCTCACAGACGCCGACAGACTTGCTGAGTTTTGCCAGAAATTTCTGTTTTTGTTTCAAATCTCCAGTGTCCGCTGTTCTTTGTTTTGTTATTTTGCTGCAGTTATATAGGGCCACATCTGGTTTGCTGTGTACGGTTTTGACTTTGGAGGAGTTGCAACACAAAAACCCATGAGATTGATTCCTGGAATGAGAAAGCTGTCTGTCCACTGAAGAGAGATTGAGCAGGCTGAGCCTGTATTCTGTGGGATTTAGGAATGTTTAAGACATCATCTCATAGAAACATAAAACAAAAACAATAAGGCCATAGTTGAGCGATATCTTTCCTGGGCTGCGAAGTATGAATTGGGGTCTTACTCTCAGGATAAGCATATGATCATTTAGGAATGAAGTAGGAAATTTCCAGAGGCAGCTTAACCTTTCTAATGCTCAAGTGCACATAGCCTTGAATGCTCAGTTGTAGCCTGTACCTAAGACTGAGATGGATAGATTTGAGGAAGTAAAGATGTTGGGGATTGGACAGGAAAGTGAAATTGATTTTAAAACATTCAGCCTTTATCAAATTAAATAGGAGAGCAAGTTCGAAAGGTTATATGCCTTTCTTTTCTCCCATTTCGGCACTCCTGTAGCTGGCCTGTCATCCTTTGTAAATTTGAGCGTATCTAGATCTCTGACCATATCCCAATTCACATCAAGTTCATCTCCCTTCTCCACAGGTGTGTCAGTTGATCAAATTTAAAACTCTAATCTCTGTTGTTGCAATTGAATCGATTATTCAGGCAGTCTTGATGAGCTTGGAAAGATTCAGCATAATCAAATAATATCTGTATGATTTTATAAAAAGGGAACTTGTGTTTGAGCAATCCAATAATTAGTTGGATAGGAGAGGATATTCTCTTGATATAGTATAATTGGATTTCCAATAAAAGGCATTCAATGATGTGTCATACTGAAAGTAAATAAGCAAGATAAGGGCTCAAGAAGCTTGGAGTAATATGTTAGTGTGATTTGAAGATTTGTTAATGGACAAGTTGAGAGTAGGGATAAACTGGGCATTTTCAGTTTGACAGGCTGTGCCTAGTGGAGTATGCAAGGATCATTACTGGGGCCTCAAACACATTCAATCTACGTTAATAACTTAGATGAAGACACAAGCGCATTATATCCAAGTTTACTGATGGTACAGAGGAGGACACAGAGGCTGCAAAGAGATATAGAGAGGTTAGCTAACAGATGGCCAGGTGAGGAGAGATGAATTGTTCCGCCCCCTAACCTCCTCGTTTGGTCAACAAGGATTTTATATTCTGGTTAGCACTCAGCTATATCTCACTCCTATTAAAATGCAGGTAACTCCTTGCGATTTGCTTCAACACCAGGCTTTGTCCTTGAGAGAGAGCATTCTCCAGTTACAGCCACAAATCCATCTTGTCTGCTTCTGCCAGAGTGCTTCCCTGAAATAGAGGTGGTTTGTGAATTCCATGTCTGTGTTCCTTGTTTTCAAGCTAGATAATTGCAGGCAATGTGGTCTGTAAATCTATAAGTGAACGTTTTATAAGGGTGTAAATTGTACGGGAGATAAAAGTCTAGTTGACTGGTTCAGTCTAGTTTGATGCCAGTGTTCATTTCAGTTTAAATGGTCTTGCTTATTGATTATTTTTCTTGAAGCTTGGCTCAATCTGTAGTGAGATGATCTGTGCAGCCAATTTTAAGTCAGGTTTTTTTTTCCTTTTTGCATCAATTTCAGTCCATGTAAGTTCCAGGTCTTAAAAATCAAATGATGGAAGTTGAAAAATCACAGTTTATATTCTACCACTATTGTGGTAGGGTATTAAATTTGTAGATTTTGATAATCACAGGAACTTGAGTATAGAAACCTAGATTGCAAGTGCAGCAAGCAATTTGAAAGGCAAATCGTAACTTGACTTTTATTGCATGGGGTTTAGAGACAAGAATGAAAATGTCTTGCTGCATTTGTATAGGGCTTTGGAGAGACCATACCCGATGTACTGCATGCACAGTTTTGACCTTCACATCCTAAGGGGGAAGATACTTGCATGAGTGTTGATAGAGCAAAGCTTCTCTACACTGACTCCTGGGATCAGAGAGTTAAGAAAGTTACTCTATGACAACAGGCTGAACAAATTAGGCCAGTGCTATCTGTAAATTAGAAGAATAAAAATTGATCTAATTGAAACACAAGATTCTGAAGGGTATACACTGCGAGATGGTTGTTTCTGCTGACTTGAGAATCTAGAACACATGGGGCACAGTCTCAGGATGTGGGGCCAATCACATAGCACTGAGGAATAATTCCATCACTTATAAAGTTATATACCTTTTAATTTTTTTTCCTTTGCCTCACAGTATGGTGGATCCTTCATCAATGGCTATATTTAAGGCTGAGATAAACAAGGCCAGCTGAGATAAACAAGGCCAGCTGACCTCTGGAGAAATTAAGAGCTGTAAGGGGATGTGGGCATGAAAATCGGAGATATCAAGAACTGCAGATGCTGGAGTCAGAGTCAATACAATGTGGAGCTGGAGGAACACAGCAGCTCCTTCAGGCCTTCATCCGAAACGTCGACTCTCCTGCTCCTCTGATGATGTTTGACCTGCTGTGTTTCTCCAGCACCACACTGTATGAGCATGAAAATGACATTTAATGCAAAATATTACATATTATTCAGTAACAGAGTATGCTCAATGTTTACTCCTTTACTCATTTCAGAAGTTCTTAAATTGCTGGCATCTCTACTGCCTTACTGTATAATCATCTCCAGCACTTGAATGTTCATGATCTGTGCACTCCACCTATTATTCCATCCCTGACTGCAATGATTTTTCCATTTGTGGCTGTTCTTTTAGTTGCCTAGACTGTGTTTTCCTGATTTGTCTCCTTAACATTTCATCTTTCTAGCTTTCTCATCTTAACAGTGTTGGTATAAATGCAGAAGGTGCTGGAGAAACTCAGCAGGCCTGGCAATATGTGGAGAGTGAAACAAAGAATGTTTCCAGACTCTGGCTTTTTCATCACAGCTGAAGCATTATCATTGAGTTTTCTCTCGACAAGACCTGCTATTTCTGGCATTTTTATTATTATTATTTCAGATCTGTAGTCTCTGGATTTTTTGTCTTTTATATTCTTTTAAACAACACTCTCACTTCTCATCTGGCTTTGTGTCATATTTTGTTTGAGGTTCCTGTGAAGTGCCTTGGTACGGTTCACTACGTTAAAGTTGTTGTATGAATACTGTATGAAAGTTGGTGATTTTTGAGTAGTTCAGTGTGATTTTTTACACACTCCCTTCTAGTGAAGCACTGCTCCAGACGATGCTTTCTAGTTGAATTTTTCCTTTTGGCTGTTCTTCAAGCACTGTAACAAATAAGTATATAAAAACCACATTTTTAGAATGTAAAATGTTGAAGTGCAGCGTTATCAGCAAATTGTCACTCTGCATTCAATACAAATAATAGCTCAAGATTTTAAGCTTACAGCTTCTATTTTGTGCTGCAATCCTGCATTTGTCTTTTGCAGTTATGATTGAGTTTAAGAAGACTAGAAAAAGTGTTACATTCTATTGAGATAATGTCTGCAACCCTTCAATTAACACGCTCAGTCTGTTTGTCTGTCTGCTTTAATAATTAATACTCTGTGCTTCCTTAATGCCTTTTATTATTAGGCTTTAGCTCAGAATGCAGAGTTCAAAGGCCGGCTGTGCAGGATACATGCTGAATCTAGGCTGGTAGATCCAGCTGTCACTGTATATTCGAGTCCAGGTTCAGTTAAGGTGAGTCTGTGAAAATGATTACAATTGTAACCAGAATGTTTATTTTGAATGTACATACATCACTGAAATAGTTTTAATGCCTACAAATAATGCAGTTCAGTAATAAATGTTTTACAGTAAACCTCAAGTGGAATACATCCATAACTCCATTGTTCCTGCTGTTTGCAGCGTTTTTTTAAAAAACAATCCATTTCTTGTGTCATTAAATGTTGTGGAGGTGCTGGTGTTGGATTGGAGTGGGCAAAGTCAAAAGCCACATGACACTAGCTTATAATCCAGTCGCTTTATTTGAAATCAAAACCTGTTGGACTATAACCTGGTGCCATGTGACGTCTGTCATTAAATGCTGGTGACTGCTCTTAACATGAAAGGCTACGTAAAACTGAACTATAGTTGAGACAATTACCAAATGTCCAACGTACAGATTTAGATTTTTTTTTTAATAAACCCAGCTGTAACATTTTTAAAAATGGTTTTCAGACAACATACTTCTACTTAAGCGATTTGATGCTTACCAGTAAGTTAATTTGAAAATGATTTCAGTACACCAAAGGTGGCTTCAAGGAATGGCATCTACTTTCCATATTTTGTTTTTTTTTTCACTGGCTCAACTTAAGAACTATGGGATTGAGGTATAAATTGGTTTCATTTCACTGTGAAACCTTTTGTATTTTACTCCCATTTTGGAGTGTTACATTTCCATCTCGAAGCATTCCTTCCAATGTGCCTTTTCCAACACTGATACCTGATATTTTAAATGTCACCTACCACAGTATTTGACAGCATTGTGAACTGCAGATTGTCTTCAGCAATTTATGGGAGAAATCAAAATTACAGCCAATTTGAATTGCAATGCTACAAGTAGTAACCAAGTTGATAGTTAACAATAAAAAATGTTAATCAGACAATCCTCTACGTTTAATCCTTACTTTGGAAGTGTAGTGTTGTAAGTTTGCTTTTTGGTGCTTTTGGGACAGTGGTTCTTGAATCAGCCCTTGCCTGAATTTGTTGTCTGACCCTTGTGTGCTAAGTCAGATGACATTTTATATATGGAGCACAAAATCCCCTGATCTGTCTTTAATGTTAAACAGATGCACAGTGTGTTGTATCATCAAAATGTAGTGGCAGGCTCAGTCACGTACCCATTTCTTTGTCCTTGTTATATTCTGAATGGTTATAATACAATGTATTGGAGCTTTCATGAGAGAAAGAAAAACTGAGGGGAATGTACAAATTGGCTGTCTGTAGATCTCCTTGGTCCACAAGCTGAAGGGCTGTAGCATGGGGAAATCATCTCCTCTTTCTCCAAGTTGCACATCATCATGACTTGGGCATTGATTGTTTTTCCTTTTACTGATCAAAGCTCTGGAATCGTTATTTCACAACATTGTGGGAGTGCTTTCACCACAAAGACTGCAAAAGGAAAGCCTACCAACATCACCTCAGCGCAGCTGGGGTTGGACAATAAATAGCTACCTTACCAGCAACAGCCACTTTCCAAGAATTTAATTGGAGGTAGTTACCCAGAGTATGTGTTGCTAAACAAGATAGGGATCTGTGATTAACTGCTCTGACTTTGTGTCTTTGTTTCAACTTAAATAAAAACGCAGTACTGTCAATCTTGTAAGCCACTTATTAGGAATTTATGAAAAAGGTCTGGGGAGAAGGGAATTGAGTTTTCAGTGGTTTGTTTGCTATCTAGGTTACTTGTTTGTGTCGAATATGTATATCAATTTTTCACATTACACAAAACTCCATGATGCTGCTTGGCCTGCTGTGTTCATCCAGCACTACACCTTGTTATCTCAGATTCTCCAGCATCTGCAGTTCCTACTATCTCTGAAGCATCTCATGCTGTCTTCCATGTTTAATTTTCATACAGCAATGAAACAACTATTTCTGACATTATTTGAAAAGATGCATTAACTGTTCTCTAATTCTTACTTGAAACTTTCTGTAGAATGGTTAAAATAGAAACTTACTTTCCAGGAACAACATGCCTGTTATAGATAGCTACTCAAAAATCAGTCGGTGTGTGCAAAGCTTGAAAGTTTAAATTATAGCCTTGTGATTTTTTTAAAATGTGTTTTTATGGATTTGTCACTGAACTAATATCATCACAGAATGTTCCAGGTACATATTATAAACCCAGCCAATTGTAGTCACAGCAGCCCAGTAATATGCCTTTTATTACAAGAATCTTAATGCTGGTACATTAGTGGAACAGGGAGTCAGTTGTCCACAGCCAGGTCATAAATGAGTGATGGATAATAGATTTTCGGATTAGTTGGACTTGAGCTGAACACTGGTTCAGAAGATATTTGGTTAAAAATCAGATGGTGTATGAAGAGACAGTTGGGAAAATTTCTGGAGGAGTTGGGGGGCAATGGTGTCAGGAGAAGGTGGGGAGTCCGAGAACTAGTTATCAGTTATGCTGCCTCACACAAGATGTTGGATAAATAATTGAGTACAACAGAAATATTTGGAAATTGAGGGTTCTAACAGAGATGTACTTTGATTGAGGTGTCACCTAGATATTAGATGGTTAGACTGTCTGCTTATGCACCAGGAATTCTGTATAGCTACATAAACTTTACGAAATTGACGAGAATTCTCATTGAATTGGAAAGATTGTTTTTCAGGAAAAAATTTGCAAGTCAGCAGTAATGGCCACAAAATATTTTGACGCGTGTGTGTGTGTGTTTGCATATTAACAGTTATTAACTTATCATTAAATGTTAAGTTTATCAATTATGTTAATAGGTAAATACTTGATTTTAAGTGAAGGGAAGTGTATAAGTACAAGAGTGAGATCGGATGTGGTTAACTGAAACTGATCAAGAAAACAATGAATTGTTCTTAAAGTGCTGGAAAAGCTCAACAGGTCTGGCAGCATCTTTAAAGAGAAAAACAGGGTAATTGTTGTTCTGGTTCTTTTGATGTTCTAACAGCCTGGTAACCTTCATAATTGGTCACTGGCAAAGAAATTGTGATAGCTAGTATATTTTTCAGCACAATTAACTTCTATATATAGTACTGGGGACATACCTATAAAAATTGGATATCAAGGAATCGTTGATAATGCAGGAAAATGAATTATGTCTGAGCAAATAGCAGTGTTAAAGGGTGAAATGGTTCCTATTTCTTAGGTTATCTTAATATTCTGTTATTACAACTCCACTTTCTACATAGTAAAAAAAAAAGCACTTTACTATAATTTTCATGACCTGAGATTATACTTAAAGTATCACAGTCTGTGGAATTCTGTGTCACAGAAAGCAGTTAAGGCCAAATGTTTTCAAGGAGTTAGATATAGTTCTTGGGGCTGAAGGAATCAATGGGCATGGGGGAAAGTGAGAATAGGGTATTGAGTTTAATGATTAGCCAGATCATATTGAATGGTAGAGCAAGCTTAAAGGGCTGAATGGCCTACTATGGCTCACGTTATCTTTTTGTTCTAAAAGATTAACAAGTTTATTTGGAGGAAAGGGATTCTATAACCAAGTCCGTAAGGACTAATGAGTCAGTTGAATTTCCATAGTGGGGAAACTTTTAGAAATAAAAATTCAGGCTGGAATTAATAGTTATATGGACAAACTTGGGTTAATTAGAGAGAACCAGCATGGATTTCTTGATGGAAAATCCTGTTTAACTAAGTTGTTGAAGTTCTTTAAGGATAATATTGCCGATGTGTATGTGGACTTCCAAAAGGTTTTGAATACAGTGCCGCACAAGTTTCTGGGAAAGTTGTAGTTCACGGAATGTTCAGTGGATCGTAGCAATATGAAAACTGTGAGGTAGGAAACAAGAGTCGTGGTTAGTGAATACTCTCAAGGTTGGTGAGATGTTTGCAGTGGGGTTCCCCAGGGGTTCTTTTCCTAATTTATATAAATCGTCTAGGTTGTGGAGTGCATGGGGACACTGTCCAAGTTTGCAGACCATACAAAACCTGGAAGCATTGTACACTGAGGAGGACAGTGTAGAACTTCAAAAGAACTTTGACAGTTTGGTGGAGTCAGAGATAGATGGCTGATGAAATTCAATGCAGAAAAATGCAAGATGAAACAATGGAACAAAAAGTAGGTAGTTCGGCCCTTTGAGCCTGCACTGCCATGCAATGTGATCGTGGCTGATCCTCCACCTCAGTGCTGTAGTCTTTTATTCTTTCCATATCCCTTGATGCCTTTAATACTTAAAAATGTATCAGTCTTCTTCCTGAATGTACAGTTTTGCATTTGGAATATTATTACCAGTTTTAGTCTCCCTACCTAAGAGGATACACTTGCTACAGAGGGAATGCTGCGAATGTTCACTAAGCTGATGCCAGGGTTGGCAGGTCTGTTGTATGGGAGAAGTTGGTTCACCTGGGCCTGTATTCACTCACACATTTAGAAGGATGAGAGGTGCTCTGGTTGAGGCAGATAAAAACCTAACTGGGCTAAACAAACTAGATGCAGGGAGGATGTTTCCATTGATTTGGACTCTGGAGCCAGCAATCACAGTCTCAGGATGTGGATTAGGCCATTTAGGACTGAGATGAGGAAACATTTCTTCATTCAGAGGGTGGACAACCTGTGGATTTACTTACCATTAGTAGAAAGAACACAGAGAGACAGTGTAAAATAAATGGCACTTTCTTTAGTGTGTGTGCGGGTGTAGAGACACATCGTGCATATGTGCATGTCACTAAATGACAGGTGGAGAAAGCAGTTAATAAAGCACATAGTACGCTAGGCTTTATCAACACTGGCACACTACAAGAGCAGGGTGGTTATGCTGAATCTGTAAAGGATACCAATTAGACCTCCACTGGAGTATTCTGTACAGTCCTGGGTGCCATGTTTTAGGAAGGATGAGAATGCATGGGAGATGGTGCAGAAGAGTTTGAGAATGGTTCCAAAGATACACTTCAGTTATAGAGAGAGATTGGATTGGTTAAGGTCATTTTTCTTGTAGAGGAAAAGGGTAAGAGGAAATTTGATTGAAGTTCTCAAAATCATGAGGGGTCCGAACAGATTAGGCAGTTAGAAATGGTTCCTGTACAGAAATGGATCAGGAACAAGGGAGCATAGATTTAAAATGATTTGCAAATGAAGTAAATTGGAGGAAATCTTTTTCATGCATTGAGTGTCTTCAGTCTGGAATGCACCACCAGGAAGTGTGGGGGCGATCATATCAATCAAGGCATTCAGGAGAACATTAGAAGGTTATTTGAATAGAAATAATTTGCAGGATTATGGGAAAAGGGCAGGAGAATAACACTGAGTCGCACTATTCATTCAGAGAGCCAGTGTAGATACAATGGACGGAATGGCCGCTTTCACCACTGTGTTAATTCTGTGATTTTGTGAAGATCCTGCTTTTGCTTTCTCCTTTCCCCTCCAATAATGGCCAGTCAACTTGTACGTAATTACAGAAAAATAGGTTTGTACAGAGTCACTTCGTCCCAGGTAAATTTGGATTTCAAAAGATTAGAGTATTTGGTGGAGTGCTCAGATATACTGTTAGTATCAACCTTACTGTTTGAATAAGTTTCTGTTTTAATCAGCAGATATTAAAAAGTCTTAATACTGTGCATGTTGGTAAGCTGAAGAACATATGAAAATAAAAAACATCCGACAACTAAAACATTGCAGTTATAATCTAAATGGGACTTGGATGAAACTCCACTTTTTGTGCAGATAATCATTGGGTTTGTTTCATTGAATACCAGCTGCTTTTATTCTGTTTTCATGCTTGGGATAGGAACGTAATGACTGAAATATAGTTGCGGAAAACCTTTCAAACCATGCCAACTTATTCAAATACAAAGAAACTACAGCTGTTCCCTTTTACAATTACCAACATTACAGAATCTAAATGTTTCCTTTGTTTGTGGCATGTTACCACAAATCTCAATGTATGTTGATCATTTCTTGTCCTTCTGTAATTTTATCATTTTGTAATGTGAAAGTTTAAGTTCAGAAATATTTCAAATAATCAGGTTTTAAAATGTAAAATGACTTCAATCTAGCTCTATAATAAAGTTCACCTGATACTTCCTTCCAATAGTAAAGGTTTTTTGAGAACCCATGTAATCTCATGGTTCTTTTCTGTGTTGGTTCTACCTTGATTGATCAAGACTGGATATGGTAGACTAAGTTTAGCCTAATCATAGAATGATTTAGTCTCATTATTAATTTAGTTATTTGGGGTACAGAACTTGAGGATTACTGGGGGGAAAAAAAAGCTCTCAAAGAGCAGCATGTTGGCACAGTGGTTAGCACTGCTGCCTCACAGAGCCAGGGACCCGGGTTTGATTCCACCCTTGAATGACTGTCTGTGAGAAGTTTTCATGTTCTTCCCATGACTGCATGGGTTTCATCCCACAGTCCAAAGATATGCAGATTGTGTGGATTGGCCATGTTAAATTGTCCTACTGTCCAGGGATGTTTAGGCTGGGTGGATTAATCGTGGTAAATGTGAGTCTGCAGGCAGGTAGGGAGGGTGGGTTTGGGTGTGATATTCTTTGGAGGGTCGGTGCAGACTTGATGAGCCGAATGTCCTCTTTCCACACTGTAGGGGTTCTATGATTCTATTCATCTTGCACTCAAGGACAGTTGCAAGAAATACTCCAGCAAGGGGAAAACCAAATTTATGCTGTATGAGAATTGAGTGTTGACAAGTGAACTTTTTGAATGGTGGAAGGTCTGCCATGGGCAACAGTTATATGTTGACTGACTGTTAACTGCTTAAGCTGTGTTTAAATTTTAAACCAGGCAGGTTGACTCTGATCTGTCAGGTATTTCCTTGAGAAATAAAGCATAGAAAGGCTGTCTGTTCTCTTGAGTTGTGATTTGGGCAGTGTGTGTTCATACTCTTTCTGTCTGCAAGAAACGGGATTGTGTGCGTTAATGTATGTAGTTTCCAGTTCGTGTATGTACACCATACCATGAGCCTGGTTATCCTAAATTGGTTGTCAGTGTAATTCTTAAGTACATTTGTGATTATTTAACAAGTGTTGTCCAATCATAGAATCAGATCTAATGTTGAATTTTTTTGGGAGCTTTGCAATCACAGGCTGATTGGGTACAATCAATACATTCCCTGTTGTGAGCAGCTAAAGGGACATGTTGTTTGATATGATCTTTAGGTACATTTTTGGGATGTACTGTTTGCACACCTAGCACCACACCAGCACTGAAATTCATATACTACATTATTCACTTATCCGATAGGCAGAAAAACGTTTTGGTTTGACAGCTGCCACTGGTATAGCAGCAGCATACAATGAAGAATTCAGTGAAGAACGCAGGAGGGCATGCCAGGAGCAGCACCAGACATAACTGAAAATGAGGTGTCAACCTGGTGAAGCTACAAAATAGGACTACATGTGTTCCAAACATCATAAGCAGTAAATGATAGATATGTTAAGCAATTCCACAACTTTTTCTTATTTTAAAGGTATCTTTTTAATATATTTTGCGGGGGTCTGGTCTGGTCTATAACAGGTTGCTCTGTTATTAGAGAGAGGTGACTGGTCGTGGTTTAACCTGAGAGTCATCGCAACCCAGGTGAGGGAATAGGTTGTGAAGAAGAGTCCTTCACAGTGACCTAAGTCAGAGTAGGAATGGAGCCCACACTCTTCTCCATTACAAACCAGTCATCCAGTCAGCTGAGCGAACCAATCCCAACATTTGTGCTATACAAATGTTAAACAATGACTCTCTAACAAGAGAGAATCTAACCATTGCCTCTTGACATTTGATGGCATTACCATCACTGAACTCCCACTATCAACATCCTAGGCATTAGTATTCACCAGAAACTGAACTGGACTGGCCATATAAATATTGTGGGTACAAGTTGAGGTCAGAGGCTTCACTGCATAAGTTCAGCCAGGCTCCTTAGACAGCACCATCCAAGCCTATAACCCACTACCAAATAAAAGGACAAGGGCATCAGATACAAGGGATCTTGTAGCCACTGCATTTCATGAAGTGAGTCCAGTTGAGTTTCTGATCAATGGTAACTCCCAGCTTACCTGCAAATTCTCCTCCAAGCTACTCAGCATCTTGACTTCAGTGTCACTGGGTCAAAACTCTAGAACTCCCTAACAGCATTGTGGGTATACCTACAGCAAATAGACTGCAGCAGATCAAGAATATAACTCACTTTCTCAAAGACAACTAGGGATGGGCAATAAGTGCGATAGGCAGAAAAACGTTTTGGTTTGACAGCTGCCACTGGTATAGTAGCAACATGCAATGAAGAATTCAGCCAGCTATACCTCATCCTATGAATGAATAATAAAAAAAGCAGCAAACTCACCTTTGAGACAGGTTACACTGGAAGGGAAAGGTGAGGTAAATTTGGCACTTTTCAAGCCCAATGTGTTTTATGTGATGCACGGAGAGAAATGCTCTGATTTGGGAAGTCATTATCTCACAAGGTGGCTTTGATGTAGCCTATTTCAGAATCAATAATAAAACCAGCAAAATACTGAGACAAAATATGACCAATTGAAATCAACACACAAGGAATTCAGTTGCGCTCTATTTAAAAGAACCAGTTTCTTCTACAGCTTGGTACATGACTGAACATTTAGCTGAAAGTATTTCATAGTTCTTCACAATACATTATTGCTTGATGGATGGTGTGATTTCCAGTAAATGTACATAGCTCAGATTTTAGACAGAAAGCCAGAAATCAAGGAAAATCACGGAAAACGAAAACAAAATACTTCTCCAGTTATTTGTGATTGAATGGCCTCTGATGTCAGGGCTATTTACTCAGCCACAAATAATGACACAATGAATATTGTATAGCATGCCTATGAGCAGATGCTGTGAAATTAACCATATGTAACAACTGAATACTTTCGTTGACTGATTATACTTCGATTACAATGTATCCTGACTAAACTTCCATGGCTACCTCAAGTACGTTGGAGTTATGAGGATTTATAGTTTCTGCTTTGGCAAGATTTTTAGGTATGAAGTGGAGCCATTGTACTGGCTGGCTGACCGAGTTCCTTACCAAATCTCAACGACACCTCTAGCTATTTCAGAATTGCAATGGCAAATTTGCCTAAGACAATATCAGTGAGAAATAGTTGAGCCTATTTGTACCTTGATTTCTGCTGAATAGGACCACAGTTGTATCCTTGAAGTTTTGCATGAAGTCAGTCGAAACAGTGTGAAGCTTAAAGATCTGTATGTCTAATACAATGCATTTTTGTTAGATGGATGGTGTGAATTTCCAGTGTACAGGAGTCCAAGATTTCAAGAAAAAATGTTTTTGTGTCTAATTCTGAAGTTCTCTCCAAGGAGGAGGAAATTTTTCATACATAGTTTGCTCTTTTTCCCTCTGTTCCTCTGTTTAGATTAAATGAACAAGTAGCAATAAAAGTACTGCTAGGAACCCATCAGCTGCATGGATACAGAACACAGGAAAATGGCAGTGTACAACCTGACTTCCCAGCTTGTCCAAGCCTAACTTTTGTCTCTTGGCTACCAACTTTTAAAGGAGATGACTTTTATTTTATCTCTAGTTATTTTTGAAATTTAAAAGTAATTTTTCTTTGTGAAGATCTCTTTGGAAAATGCCACACTGTTCATCTTGCATGAACAAATGTTCCCTTTGGCATTTGCACAGGTATCCAACTGATCTTGTAGAAAACTATATTTGATTCATTCATTGTTGTGCAGCAATGACTGACATCAGTATTTCATTTTAAAATTTAATCAGTGTGGCTAGTTTTTGTTTGTGCTTTCCGGAGAAGTCACACATTAGCATTATTTAAGTGAGACAAGGTCTGCACAACATTGTCAAGGTTGCTGTGTCTAGCTAAGTGGTGACAATGCTGGACGTACTGTCTACCAGATATCTCACCATCTTGGCTGTTTTTACCCCCTTAACAGCATGCTTACATTGCTCATGTTACTGCCTATGTCCAAATAATTAACAATTGGCAGTATCACATTTTATTTGGCGCTGCCTTTCTTGCACATATTTTGTGTGACTTATTTCATCTAGCTATTGTTTAATTTACAAAGTACCTCTGCATCCAATGTTTTTTTTAATTTATTCATATTCTGGAATGTGGGCATCACTGGCTGGCCAGCATTTATTGCCCATCCCTGGTTTTCCTTGAGAAGGTGGTGGAAAACAGCCGCCTTGAACTGCTGCAGTTTATTTGCTTTGGGTTGACCCTCAATGCCATTAGGGAGGGAATTCTGGGATGTGACCCAGTGACAATGAAGGAATGGTGACATATTCCCAAGTCAGGATCATGAGTGGCTTGGAGGGGAACATGAATGTGGTGGTGTTCCCGTATACCTGCTGCCCTTATCCTTCTAGATGGAAGTGGTCATGGGTTTGGAAGGTGCTGTCTGAGGATCTTGTAGATAGTACACACTGCTGTTACTGAGCGTCGGAGGTAGAGGGAGTGCATGCTTGTGGATACAGTGCCAGTCAAGCGAGCTGCTTTGTCCTGGATGGTGCCAAGCTTCTTGAGCGCTGTTGGGGCTGCACTGATCCAGGCAAGTGGGGAGTATTCCATCACACTCCTTACTTGTGCCTTGTAGATGATGGACAGGCTTTGGGGAGTCGGGGGGTGAGTTGCTCATTGCAGTATTTGTAGCTTCTGACCTACTCTTGTAGCCACTGCATTTTATGAATTGAGTCCAGTTGAGTTTCTGATCAGTGGTAACTCCCAGGATTCAGTGGTGGTACCGCCATTGAATGTCAAAGGACGGCGATTGTATTGTCTGGTATTGATGATGGTCATAGCCTGGCATTTATGTGGCACGAATGTTACTTGCCACTTTTCTCAATATTGTCCAGATCTTGTTG